TTTTTTGTCTTTTTGAGACAGCGTCTCACTATGCAGTTTAGGCTGGCCTTGAGCCCACTTATGGAACTGAGGCTGGTCTCGAACTCATAACAATTCTCCTGCCTCAGCCTCGCGAGTACTGGGATTACAGGCATGGGCATCATGTTTTATAGTGAATACTTTCACATAAGATGTAGAAAATCTTAATAAATCTCACTAAATAGCTTTATAAATTTTTGGCAAGTCACACACAGTATTGGGCAGTTTCTCTCTTAACAGAAGAGTGACTAAATATTCTTTCTCTTTATCTATAAGATTCTATGATTCTCTGTGCTTTAAAGATATAATTCTATGAAGCAAATCAATTGAATTTAAAGGAAATAATGCATCTGGTCACCTTAACCAAAACAACACATATAATCAAACAGGTAAATATCTTTTGGTTTATCAAAGAATCACTCTTCAGTGTCTGGTATGGAGTAACTGTGACAGACAATATGAAAAGAAGACATAAAAAGATTTTTTTAAAAATAGCACCAGGATGGGGCAAGTGCCCCTCTCCCTTTATTTCTGATTAAATAAAATCCTAGTATCTTCATGTGATTGGTACCATACCTTATAATATCTACACTTGCCAAGAGAACAACTTTTTTCCAGAATCCGTTGGATAGAAGGCGCCCATGGAGAATGCACATCTGACATCACACCTTCGAGTATACCAGTATCATCAGCAGAGACAGAAGGAAAGTCATGAAATGATATGAAGCTACATGGGGACAGACATCAGCAGACTGAAGCAGTGAGTATAAATGATGACATAGCTGTCTGTGGGATATGATAGACACTTACTGTAGGGGTGGTTTGAAAAGAGGTATAAAATAGAGGACAAAACATTTTATTTCATATTGGACAAAGTGTCATAAGCATGCATCAGTCGAATACACAGATTGTCTTATCTAGAAAAAAATCCTAATATACAATGTCTTTCTATTGTCTAATTAAAAACAACAATAAATGACATCCAACTAATCATTATTTTGCTTAGTGTAGAACTTCCTATCTTTATTCTAGCCACAATTTGATGATAGGCTGGAAGTTTTACAAGCTTCTAAATATTCAAGAAAGTAAAGCACTAAAGAACAGAGAAAGGGCAGGGTTGATAGAACACACCAGTAATCCCAGCCCTAAGGAGGTTGAAGCAGAAGGATTACAGCAAGTTTGAAGACATCTTGGGCTACATAGTGAGTTCAAGTCTAGCCTGAACTGCATAGCAAGACTCTATCTCAAAAACAAGCAAACAAACAAACAAAAAAGCAGAAAAAGAACAGATGATGCTGGTGAAGAATATCCTTCTTTTAAACTCTAATCCTATTTCTATAGGATTACCTACAAGCAGGGAAGCAGAAGAATCATTTAGGCAGAAAAGTGGAAAACAGAAATTTACCTGTTCCAAATGGAGTTTCCAATATGACTAAGATAATGAGCACTAACTCTTTTAAACTGCTAACTCAGGTGGCAATTTTTAAAATGAATAAATGTTCTATACTCTCCTAAACCTCATGCATTTTATCTTGGCCCTCTGCTAGCATGAGTCCCTCAGGATTTGCCTTAAGATAGTGAGGATGGTTCTCCTTCTTTCAACCATACTATTGCAATATGCAAGGATAACACAATATAAAGTTTTCTACCCTGATACCAGCGAACTGATCCTATTGGAGAAATGAAAAACCACCCTCCAGAGATCTGTGAGGTCATGCTGCAGTGGGAATAATTACATATGATAATTTTTTCAAGGATAAGGAAAAAAAAACACTTTTATCAACTAGTTAGCATACCTGAAAGCAAAATATAATTTGACTGTACTAAAGCTTAGTGTAATATTTTACGTCAACATTTCTGTAATCACAACAAATATTCAGTGCTGAAAATCACCAAACCTCAGGGCAGTTTCTGCCAATCACAAGAACCCCATTATTTGACAAGCCAGAGTAATTTTAATCTATGAGAAAATGATAATCTGTTTCTCATTTTTTTTCAGTTTGATAGAACAAATCTACTCCCTCAACACAATGGCTGAAAAGTAAAAGATGTGAAAGTGTCTGAAAAGATACTTTAAGGTATTTTCATTGATTCTTCATGGCATATCTTCCAGTTTCTAAACAAATAAACCAACTGCAAGTGGATTAAAAATTGAAACCTAAATTCTGAAGCTGAAAAACCAATAGATGAGAATGTAGGATAAAACTCCATGAAATTAGTTTTGACAACGTATTTTTGGCAATGTATATGACCCTACAGTACAGACAGCAAAAGGAAAAATAGACAAATGGAGTTTCATTAGCTTTCAGAAGGCTTCCACGTAGCAAAGGAAATAAACAAGAATAAGGGGCTGGTTAATTACTGTGGAAATTTGGAAAAGGATGGATAGGGGTGTGATTTTTTGTTATGTTAGTAGGATTATCCCAGATTTGAGGAAGATTTTTGAAGCTATACATCAGATCAGGAGTTAATATAGCTGTAAAATATAGAAACTCGATTCTGTAGCAAAAAAAAAAATTAATCTGACTAAAACACAGGTAAAATACTGGAGTAAACTTTTCCCTCTAGAGAAGACACAGATGTGGGGAGAGGCTGAAGCTGCAGACTGCTTACAGGTAGGCGCAGGAGTAAGGCAGGCCTCAAGAACAGAGAGAACTTGAAGCAGTCACATGCAGAAGCTGCTCTAGTTTCAAGAACACTGGGCACCTGAGGCCAGCCACGTGGATAAGCTATGAGGCAGATGGGTTTCATGTGACCGTCAACCTCCCGAGTGAATACATAAACTCTGCAGCTCTATCTGCTGTTTCTATGCTGAAAGAAACTGTCAATGAGTCTTTGGTTGACCAGTATTGCATGTCTATATCTGTTTTCATGAGAAGCCACTTTGAAGATATCAATATGTAATACAACCACCATTGTTAATTCCCTACCACTTTGTTTGGAACTCTGTATTGTCTGTATTGTGCTTGTGATATGTTGTAAAATGTTGTATGTCTGTTAATGTTTCCCTCCTTTTATCCTTAAAATAAAATAAATAAATCTGAAAAAAAAAATAAACTCTGCAGCTATGACTGTGTACTCAAGCACAATTACCAGTGTTAGAGTGTGCCCTGACACAGTGAATCAGAGATGTTCTACTACATGTGCTTAATGGAGAGTACTGCCTGTGTGCATAAAAATGTCCACTGTGTGAAGCCAGTTACAGCAAGCAGTACAGTGCATCGCAAAGATTTGGTGTCTCTTACCTGTGCTCTGTAGTATGTTTACTGTATCACATAGTGTTCAAGATCATGACTGATCACATAATTTTAAAAAACTTACGACAAGAAGGTTGCTGGAATAAATTATAGCACAGTAATACAACTGATTAAATCCATAATTTAAATTCATGTCCCCCTTCCTTCAACATCCATGCAAAATTATTTTCACCTAGTCCAGTTTTTGAGTTAGTCCTGGTGACAGAAGTACATGACTTTTTTGAGGAAAACTACACATGCATGAGAGAAATATAGGATAAACTCTATAGACCTGGGTTTGAGTTACAGACATCAGGATACATGACTTGGAATATCTGTTTATGCAAATTAATGGGAACTTGAGACATGCTTCAGCCTAACTCCATCATCAATTAAACATATGAGGGATTGGTATACTTATTGACGGGAACTATGATGGGAACTATGACCCATGGTTTGGTAACTCAGATCTTTGTCACCAATATATAGTTAGGTTAAATTATGGCAACTGACTAACTATGGAAACACCAAAATATACTCTAGTAAATTCATTAAATTTCAACCATGTTATTTACTGCCCACATCCAATTTTAATTCCTCATAATAACTATAGCTATTAGACTTGCCAATAATCTTCCTCTTTGTGCATGTATCTATGTATTCATTCAGTCATTTTCACTTCTCATGCTTTAGCCTGAGGATTCTAATGTTGCCAGGTGATATCAAAGTTTCCATTTGTTTGTTGAATAGTTTGTTGTTGTTTCTGCTGTTCAGTGCTGTGCTCTTAAACATCACTTAACTACATCACCAGCCCAGTAGTTAAAAGATTTTGTTCAATGGAAGTGATAGTGTATTATCTAATGAAAATGTTGTTCTTTTGAGGACTGACATTTCTTTCCAGCAAAACCTGAAACCATGATGAAAGAAAAAGAGAAACTCTACAAGTAATCTCTAAGGATAATGGACTGAGAAGCCAAACTTAATTTTTTTCTTATTTCTGGGAACTGAGTATTTTAGGTATTCCTAACATCATACCACATTTTAATTGTTGGTTCAGTGCTTATATTGTATTTTGGAGATCATCATATACAGCATGCAATCCTACCTGCTCTTCTGAGTTCTACTAGGACATTTAATTATTTCCTGAAGTTGGTTCATCCATGAAGGGCAAAGCCAATGATCCTGTGCCTATTATCACAATCTTTTTCAATGTAAAATGTATTTTCTACAAGGGAGAATCTTTATGGAATGCAATGTCCGTAAATAAGACTTTGTAAGGCCTAGAATAGTGAGGACTGCAAGCAGAGAGCAAAAACTTACCTCTGGAGTGGGAATCATTTAAAATCAATTTTAATACAGACAGATTGTTACAACATCTGTGCATAATTTATATGCTGTAACTGACATGATGAGAGGCAAGTTGAGAGCATCAGACTCTTCTGCTCACAAGTCAAATATTTAGGATCAGGAGTAGTGGAAGGGAGACGAACTTTATTTAAAAAGAGTACAATGCTATAGGGACATGCACAGCCTAAATTACACCTTCCAGGGTTATTTCAGTGCTGGAGTCACTGTAGATCCCCTCTGTAATAGAGAACAAAAATTAGTTGACATATAATCCTGTTCTCTGGTTTTCTCTCTGGAAGATGATATATAGTAGAAATTGACATGATAACCAAAGATCCCAAGACATTGGGCTGATTCACATTGATCTTTTCTCATTTCTCTTCTACATAGTTCCTTTCTTTGATTTTCCAGAGTTATTCTGCTATTGCCCCCTATTGAACCAGTCAAGCCATTTTCTACTGTCCAGGAATTCCTGTTTATTTTTATCTGGTACAATTCTATACCCAGATTTTACAATCAAGTAAAATGTTCATGTATAACAGCACTACACAGAGTTTCCCTCACCAGCATCACTTCTGGAGTCCAGGCATGGGTCTTTAATGCAATGGCAGCAGACCATTTGTTGGAGTACACCAATATGCTGTATGAGGCAGAGTTTTGTTTTTTTTTTTTCCATGAGCCACATTTTCTCTTTTCTGTCAGCCGGTTATGGCAATCCTATCATGACTCCAAAATTTTTCACCTGAAGGAAAGCTGGTGACAGAAATACATGACTTGGAATATCTGTTTATGCAATTTAATGGGAACTTGAGACATGCTTCAGCCTAACTCCATCATCAATTAAACATATGAGGGCTTGGTATACTTATTAATGGGAACTATGACTTGTGAAATGATGGATGCTAACAGCACAATCCCTGGGTGATGCACTGTCAAAACTCAGTCCCTGTTAAAACCCAATGACATCCTAGGATCTGCCTATCAAACCTTGTAGAGAGCCAAGCATGGCAGCACATACCTGTAGCTGCAGCACAGAGAAGCCTGAGACAGTAGGATCATGAGTGTGAGTTCACCCTCACAAATAGAGTGAGGTCTTGTCTCAAGAAAATATGAATAAAAGCAAACCAAACCGACAAATAAACCCAGTGGTAATACTTGTTGCAAAAAACCCAAACAAACAAAAACACTAGCTTTGTTCTAGAACTTCAAGAGTTAACATTGTTACTCATCACTCTGGCACGCTAATGAACCTGTGGAGTATAACTTTTGATCATGAATATCTTCATTTAATTGAATTTCCTTGCACATATAGCCCAAAATATTGAAGGACCTTATACCGAAAAATAGATTTGTACCCTGAACTAAGAACCCCATGAATGACTGCATAACAGAGTGAGAGTTGTATGCATAAGAAAGTCACCAGTCACCAGTCACCAGTTGTATGCATAAGAAAGGAAGAGGAATGCAGAGCTGGGAAAACCATAACCACTTATCACTATTCTTCTGATTTAAAAATTGTTCTATAAAATTCTTTCCTTTACATAAAAATAAAAATCATTTTATTGGCTGGAGGGTGAATGATACATTCACATTTATACAATGTCCAACATGTTTATAGTTTTGCACCACTGACTTGAAGGTCAATAACAAATTACATTGAAACAATGCTACATTTAAAATAGGAAAAGGAAATTGAAGAAGAACAAATGATGAAAAGAAGATTAAATTTGCTCATATCCATTGTACTTTTTATTAAATAGTTAACCTGTAATTTAGGTTTAATCAACCCCACAAGTCCAAATGATTGGCTTTAACATCACAGCAATTCCATTTTAAAGTGACTAGAGATCACTAAAATGGTCATAGTCCTGTAAGTTTACTTTGTTTCCAGAAAAAGAACATTCCTTATGAATGCAGACACCTTGCCAGGCTTTAGATAACGACTCTTCAGTTTCGACATAGCTGCCTTCACTTCTTTGTTCCTCAGAGTGTAGATAACGGGGTTTAAAATGGGAGTAAAGACGGTATAGAACACAGCAAGAACTT